TAATGCCAAGTCAAACCCCATACTTAATGATCGCAAACACCGCCCCCAACAGAAAATAAATTTGAAAAAAAATACTAAATTAACATTTAAAAGTCGGTCAATATACTTCAAAAACTCACAAGTCAAATACTTAGCCATAGCCAGTCTCTCCTCTTTATGCTAACGTGTATTTGTACAGAATATCTCAGGAAGAACAATTTTAACAAGGACCCAAAAAAGAGGCAGTTTTTTCTGCTCCTTGCTTCTTCTTCTTCTTCTTCTTTTTTTTTTTAATTTGATTTTCCATTGCTTGCTCTGTTTGATAACTTAATGCAGATTTCATAATAGAAGGATCAGAAACTTTCAAGATAGCACTAATTCTTAGATTTCAAGAAGATCCCACCAAATTCTGCTGCAAAATGTACCTTTTCAAGACGTCCCCCTTCTTTTGGTACCCCACACAGAAGAAAGGCTCGTCCATATCAAACAGGTCAAAATCTTCATATTCACTGAAAACAATACATACCAAATTTCAAAATACACATGCCCTCCCTTCTTTCACATGAACAAAATAGTACTCCCACATAATCTTAATCAAATCAATCAACCCCCAAAATTTAATGATTCAAAGAAATGCTCTACCTAATAGTGGACTTTGCTGGCTTAATGACTTTAATTCAATTGCTTAAACTTGTACTAATCGTGTAGTTATACACATACGTGGCTGGCTGATATAATAATTTCTGCAAGTAGCCCTACGGGACGTGCCCACAAGCCCTTGTCCTGGCCTGAAGCAAGTCATAAGCATTATATAATACAAGTTTTGACAATCTGCTCTTTATGACCATTTGGTTCCTTGAACGCAAAGGAAGCTTCATTGGAAGAAGAATGCTCGACAATTTTTGCCTCCTCTCCGCATCTCTCTCCTTCTCCTTCTCTCTCTGATTAAATAAAGAGCCAGGAAGAATCAAAACTTTTGCAGACTTTCATATATCTTTGAGTTTGAGGAAGAACCACCAGCTTAATTCAAATCTTTCTTCCTCTCTTATAAACCCTGTTTTTATTCTCCATGCAATCTTTGTTTCCTTCTCTTTGTCGTCGTTGTCTCATGCATTGTCCTTCTTCATCAGTATGACCATGATCCTCAGATTCCGACATGTCCTCACTTCGATCCTTTGGCTTTTCCTGGTTCTGATCATCTTCCATGGCTGGCTCAGTTTCGCTCCCTCCAACGCTCGTGTCGTTGGCGGCCACGACAGTACTTCCAACCAGTTATTGTCTGTTCTGAATAGGAATAGGAAACTCTTAGCCTCCAAATTTGACTTCACCCCGTTTCTTCATGGCCACCACCGGCAGCACCACCGTCACCGCCATCACCACCACCACCACCATGGGCGGAGTCACTCGACGGCGCAACATCCCCCACCGGCAGAAGGACAGATTGATCCGCGTTATGGGGTCGATAAACGCCTTGTGCCTACTGGTCCAAACCCATTACACCATTAATGAAGGTTCAAGTTATATCTGTCTCTATTTTTCTTCTTCTTCTTCTCCATTCTCCTTCATCATGTAATTTTGTGTATTCATTAAAAGAGAAAATCATGTAGCAATAATTTGTGAAATATATACATACGATTACTCCTTAATTACGCTCTTTACAGTTTTACAGATTGGCACAGAGTTGCTCTCATAAACGTATGCTTCGTTCCGTTATATGTGTGAGTACAAGAGTCCAAATTTTCCGGTAAAACACTGCGATCAAGGAGTTTTTTTTTAAATTTCTTTTCTTTTGATCATATACGCAAAGAACACTATGAATCCATTAATATTAACAGGAGATTAATGTAATATTGTTAGGGAACTATATAATATATAAGCTTGGAGACTTTATTTTATTTTATTGGCATATATATTATGTTATTAGAGAGATATGAATTAATTAGGAGTAGTTGTGAGGGCACGGCACGGCACATCACAGGAAACAAAATAACAAGAAATGTGAACGAGACAGGCTGATATTTGGGATTGGTTGTGACAGGGACTATTTATATATATATATATTAAAAATATTAAATTTGTGGTTATGAATATAATTCCGATGGCATTACTTTAAAAGGGTTGACTTTAAAGAAACCTGGATCAATGAAACTCGCAGTACACATTGGATGCTCACGTGGGTCTTTGCTGTAATTGTTTTTTATTTGCATTATTTGAATTATTTTCCTCATCTGGGACTTCTTTTTGGACCTAAAAAAAGCAATTTTTTTAAAAAAATTTCTGGGGGAACTTTTAGGACTGGATTGCTTAGGGTGTGCTTCAAGTTTTCAAACATGGGTGGGTATTAGTTTAATGGAGTTTAACTACTACTTCTCCCAATGCTTAGGGGGTAACATGTGGTTGAAACTTGTTGGAGATGAAGCAATTCATGACACTTTTTTCACTTCTCCCATCATGTGAAATTTGACTTCATTTCCTTTCATATCTTTCTGGTGGAGCAGTTGTGTGTGTGGTTTATAATCTTAGACTCCGTTTAATTTGATTTGTATGATTCATGTTTTGTACTTTAATTCTTTTAAAATTCAAATCCCACTTTTTCCTCTATTTTTATATGCTATATCTTTTTCATAATTAATATATGTACAGAGACGTGACATGAGTAAAGACTCTATTTTTTTGACGATTTCCAGATAGTGATGGTGTTTGAGACTATCATCTTTAACAATTTGATTGACTTATGATGAGGTTCGTAGAAACTAGACAGTGGATCCGCCACTTTTGCAAGCGGAGCATGTTACACGTCACGCCCCCGTCTCTTAAAAATCACTGCAAGATAAAATTTTATTTTAATTCTAAAATATCCTGCTGAGGGCGGAAAAGGTTAAGTACAGCATCATCGATGTTTACCTGGACAAGCCGAAAACCTTTTTAAATATTAATTTAAGGCGACTCTTCATTAATATACTGAGAAGGAGCTTTTTTTAATTATGTTTTATTAAAAGTAATCCCATTGAAAATACTGTTGGATATTAAATCGACGAGATTGGAAAGCAAGAAGGAGTTTGTTGGGTTGCAAATCAGACTCAGCTCCTAAACTCATGTATCTGCCGGTAATATTGGGCCAGGCACTCTCATATGTTTCAGTTTGTTTGTTTTTGTTTTTTTTGGTTGTCCACCCGATTTACTGGAGTTTTACTCAAATTACATTTGGATCCGACCCATGTCGTGTACCTGACTGTGGTGAGTAAGTCTCACAACAAAGATTTCTGTATACGCTGAGGCTTGAACTCGAGACCTCGTTTAAGCAATACCAAGTCACTTACCACTTGGACCACCTGGTCGGTTTTGTTAGCGGCCTAAGTTTGTTTGTCGGTGTAATTCCCTTTTAGCAAGGATTGAAAAAAGATGTCCAAATTTGTAATTTGATTTCCATATGATTGAAACTTGTTAAGTTGTTTTGAATGTTTTGCAAAATTGTTTTGAGATTTTATCATTCTTACATAAACATATTTTAATTTATTTCTTCACAAATAAAATTATTAATATTTTATTTTATTAGTTGATTGTTTCCACTTTCTGCTATGAATATTCTCAGATGCAGTTTAATCCCGATTATAATTTTAGGCCTTAGCGCTGCCTACCCTTTTAATTAAAGGCAGGGAGAAAAAATCTTTGACCCAAAAAAAAGGGGGGGAAATCCGAAATCCTCCCAACTCGCAAGCTTTCACAAGAAACAGCCCAATCGCTCAGCCATGAGGAGTTAAAATATAATTTCAGTAATTTTTTTCAAAGGACCTTTTCTTGAATGGACCAACAAAACAAAACGCGCTAGTGTCTCAGCTTTTTTTTTTTTTTTTAATGACGTTTAAACAAAGCAAGTCTCTTTCATATTACCTATCACGGGCTCCTCATTACCAGAGACCCAACTACTTGGATGGGCCGGGCCGAGTAAAATGAAACCAGTACTTGAGATCCATTACGCATAGGTAATAGAACAATTCCATTACGACAAAGCAAACACTAGTCACCATTTTTTTCCTTTGGTAAATGGAAACCCTCAGAGAAATAAGATATTTAATATTTATAATAGTAATAATATTATTATTTAATGAATTTTATATTTAAATCATTCTTGTTAATAATGATACGAGAGTTTCTTACGAACATTTTTATTTAGTTTAATATTTAGTAAACTAATCAATGTGAAGAAATAGATCGGTACTCAGTAGACTATTGCATGATGACAAAATAAATAAATATGATGCATGTGCAGAAAAATGGAGGAACCAAAAATAATGATGAGAAAGTGAGAATAATACTATAATAGTATTGCCAGCTCTAAATAATTTCATTCTCATTCACCATTCTCCTTCCAAACATATAAATGGAAAGGATTTAATTTAGGAATATACGATGTTGGTCCGATTCCAACCTGGCGGATGATCATGACAATTCGAAAATTGTATTGAAATGTAGGTAAACTTTAGTACCCAACAATGTTACAAATGAGGCTGTCTCCAATAGAAAAATTAAACAAACATTTATCGATCATATGGAAATATTAAATCTTACAATTCAAACCTTATTCGATATTATTCGCCTTTGATTGAAAACTTTAAATTTGATTTTTTTTTTTTTTGGCCTGGAGTTAAAGTTGGTTAGTTGAAATTTAAGATATGATTGATACCATAAGATTACGAATAACGATGGTGAGATTTCATCGCTACAGGTAAGAAAGAATGGGCATCCACCAGCTCGCCCAAAACCCCAAATATGGAATCCAAATATGGTGCTGGCTAGACAAACGGATTTTTTAGGCCTTTTTTTTTTTCAATTCACAAACAAATAATGAAATGGGAAATGATTTTTCCAATCATCTATCATATTAATGATGAATTTATACGCAGATAAAAATGATAAATTTATGCTTTCTGAAAATATAAATATGAAAAGTTTAATTTGATCGACCCCACGGGGAGCCGGGGACTGACCGAGTGCCTTCTGACTCGTTCCTGACTCGCACAATGGCCGACCGGGTTCGCTCACGCAACTCGCCTCACGTTCCCTACGAATCCCAACTCACGGCGACGCAGGAACATGCCGTACCGAGAAAGCCAACTCCGCCGGCGTCGGAGAAGCGCGTCCCGCCTTCGCCTGATCAGGCCTACGTCATCCAAATCCCCAGGGACCAAGTCATCCGCGTTCCTCCGTCAGAGAATGCGCGCAGGATGGAACAATACGATCGTCGGAAGAACCTCCGGAGTCCTTGCTGCTGCTTTCTCTGCTGGTTGATGAGCCTTATCCTCATCATCGGTATCGCCGGCGGCGGCATTCTCTACCTCCTTCATCATCTAAAAGCGCCCCGCTACACAGTTGACCGCATTTCTATTCACGGAATGAATCTCACTTCCACAGAGTCACAAGCGATCTCGCCAGAGTTTGACATCATCCTTCGCGCCAAAAACCCGAATAACATCTTCGGGATCTACTACGAGAAGGATAGCACCGCGAAAGTGTACTACAAGGAGCTGAGGCTAGGTAGCGGCGCGTTACCAGCGTTTTACCAGCCGTCAAATCATGGAACGGCTTGCAAACGGCGTTAAAGGGGTCAGGCGTTGAGCTCACGAGTAAGCACGCGAAGGCGTTAGTGGATGCGAAGAATAAACGGAGTGTGCCGTTAACGTTGAAACTAAAAGCGAGGATGAAGTTCAAGGCGGGGTCCGTTGAGACGTGGAAGATAACCGTTGAAGCTAACTGTCACATTACGGTGGATAATCTAACGGTGCAAGCGAGGGTCGTTTCAAAGAAATGTCACAACGGTGTTCACCTGTGGGGCTGATTAGTTATGGTGTTTGGGTATTTTATTTTTAATATATTTTGTTTGAAATCTGGTCGAAGATTTCAGAATATTAATTTTATTTTAATCTTTGGTCGAGGCTATATAAAAAGTTTTTTCTTGAAATTCTTATTTTGTGGGCTTACAATAAAATCATGTAAACATATATTTTTCTCTTAGAATAGTTATCCATCTTTCAAAGTTATTCTGTTAAAACACTGTCAGGTATTAAATAAGAATGTTTTTTCTAGTCAGGATATTAATTTATTGCGTTACGAAGGGCTAATCAGAATATTAATTTACTACATTACGAAGGACTAACCCATTAACTCTAACCCCATTAATTGACATATACAGCGTTTTGTTTGTCTTTTTGTGTATATTCCTCATTCCCATTAAAAGGACATGGAAATTAAACTCTCCGAACATACTAGATTTCAGTTTGCAGCTTGCTAATTTAATATTTTGGGGCTCAGAATATCTCTAGGCATTAATTGTACAGAATGTGAAGGAGTGGTTTGCAGCGTAAGCCATTATCTTAGCAGCCTCCTCATTTGTGTCCAAGTGTTGTGTCATCAGCCACCTCGTGCTTTTTAACCCCAAGTGTTCATCCTCCGTTCACATTACCAGACTCCAGCTGATTAACGTTGATAATACAACAAACTAGAGGTGGACGATGATGGAAACAGGTGGGGGAAAAAACGCCAGAAGGATTCAAAAATTAAGGAAGTATAGGGCCTTCTTTTAAAACTTACTGAAATTATAGGGCGAACAACTTAATTTTCCCTCATTTATTATTAATTATTTTGCAGCCGATCAACTTGAAATCTTTGCCATCAAGAAATGCCTAGCTAATCAAATTGCGTAACTGGACTGAGTCAAATTCTAATAAAGAAGAATCTAATAATCAAAATTCAGTGTAAACAACTTTACAACTTTGTGGCAACCAGATTCAATTTGCTAAGAAGCTATAAATTTATATTGATATTTGATACAAATTGTATTGGTACAAATATACTACCTCTGTTTTTTAATATAAAAACCATTTTAATATTTAATTTGGTTCTAAATATAAGATCTCAATCTATTTTGTCTCTACTATTTATCTTTTTTGCCTTCAAGTAATCCTTAGAGTAGTTGCATATGTTAATAAGTTACTATTAATAGATAATTCAAACACACATGATTAATAAGGATATTTTAGAGAAGACAACATCTATTTACTACAAATAGTTAACTTAATTAACTTTCTTAATTTTCCCAAACTAGTCAATTAGTTTTATGTTAAAAATAAAAAAAAATGAGAGGTAATACATCTAAAATTAGTTGGATCATGTCCCAAATATGAAATTTACTTCTTTGAAAGACATTTTTTAAATTCATCGATTGAATTCGAGCCATTGGATTTTAGGATAAGTTAGCCGCTACAATCTATTAAGACAATTGACCGATAATAAAATTTTGTGAGCATAAATCTTGATTTTTCTTCAGTCGACACAATTCCTTTAAATAAAATAATATAATTTACATGGAAATTAAATGAGTATATATAAGACTAATCATCAACATCTATCTTACTTTATGTTCTGGTTAATGCATGAAAAAAAATTGTTAAGTTACACTGTATTTCATCTAATGCAAGTCAAGTAAAAGTAGATGCGACAAAACTCTTTCGGTTAGTCTCTAACGTAGCTGCATTTCCAGGATTTAAATATAATATGATTATTATTATTCTATTACCATCCTAACATTTTTTGTTAAACCGAAGTTGAGAGATCACCTGCCATGGCCATTAATTTCTCACTTTCACTATTTTTTCCTTTTTTGTTTGAACGTTGTCCAATTAATTCTTTCATTTCATTCTTATCGTTCGTTTTCATAATATAGCAAATTGTTGATCAGAAGGCAATCATAACTATTTCCTGTTTCTCAATTGATACTGGTGTTTAAATCCTCTCAATTTATATGAAACATCCCTTAATAAAGTTGGACCATTTAAATCGTTTCAAAACTATATAATTTTCACACACACACATGCATATAAACAAACTATCTATGTGATTTTATATATGATTTAAAATTTTAAATCGATGTTCAAAATATAAGTATCAAATTTTTGAAGAATTTTTTTTTTCATATGCATCAATTTTGATTTGTTTGATCATTTAATACGTTTTGTTTAATTTTATCCTTAATTAATCATGTATCTCTCTTGTCTATTTCTTTTACGCATTCCCTCTCATCTCTTTTTATACTCATTCCCCCGTTCACTTGTACCCTCTTCGTAAACAAGAGTGTTTTAAAAAAAATAAGGTGCATTTTTAAATATTTATTAATAACTAGTTTTAACCAACTTTTTGAACTACATAATTTAATTATTTGATACTTATACTTTGAAATGGAGACAGTGTTTATTCAAATTAATTCATCTATACTCCAAAGATCAAAACAACGTAACCCAAGTTACTCATATTAAGAGAAAATATCAGTAATATATTCCTCTTACCATTAATATAAAAGATAAAATATTGTAAGCCCTTGGATAGCAATTTTAGTGCAATAACGTGTGAAGAAAAACAAAATGACGTTAAATATGCGGTACCAATAGTACACTATCTAAAAGATGTCTCACCTAATTGTTAGTTGAACCATGCATCCATAATCCATTCCATCTCAAAGCCATCAGATAAAAGCCACTTAATTAATAATTCAACTAATTTCAATATAAATCGATGAAGAGAAGTACATTGATGTGATTAATATTATATTACCTCTGGTCATTAATATAAGACCCTGTTTGACTTTTATTTTGGTCCTAAATATAAGACCCCAATCCACTTCGTCTATCATATTTACTCAATTTTTTCTAAGATAGTCCTTCTAATAATTATAGTTCTAGTCAATATACTTGATTAGTAAGGATATTTTAGGAAAGACAACACTTATTTAAGACAAATAACTAGTTCAACTTACTTTCTTAATATCTTAAAATCAGTTAACTGACTCTTATAATTAGAACCGGAGGTAGTATATGATTAAAGATCAAAAGAGATTGACACGTACCGTTAGCAACATTTATAAGCTTACCAACAAGAAAACAATTAATGGTAGGTTTTTGATTTGGATCAAGGATTATGACAACATATTTAAAATGTTATCAAAATATAGCTTTCAATATTTAGCCACTAATCACGTCTTCTATTTTAACATTATGCTCACCGGCAAAAAATTAAAACCGATCCACCTCAACTACCATATTGATGTAAAATATCAATGGTGATCGCAGTATATTTGATTTATGCTTTTCCTTTTTAAGAAAATTAAGTGGGTGGCTGGTATTTATCCTTTTTAGGGGATATATATGTTATAATGGGAGAATGATCAATTTGAAATCAATAGGATTATTTTATTCAATGACCAACGAATTGACAAATTTCAATCTGAAATCGTTGATCTATGGAGATAGGGATTTGGTATTAACTTCCAAAATTTGACACTTGAATTGTAAAATATTTACACTCAAGTATGAATAATTTACTCTATATGCTGCTATAACTAAATATTTTGAACTAAAATTTAGTTTTTTTTGGTCTTAAGATGAGATTAAATTGCTATATTGGGCTCAAATTATTATTCTTATTATAAAAATGTCAAGTATTTGAGAAAGTGATAGCGGGGAATAGTGGTTTGAAAGATTGAAAATGGGTGCAAGTGCAAGGGAGGGCCACAAGGATACCGGCCACTCAATCCTCCTTGACATGCCCAGTTGTCCCAATTGACCAAATTAAAACCTTATCGTTATCTTAAAAAGTTGTACATTATTTTAGGCTAGTAAAAGGTTTAGATTATTATCCCTATCAAGGTTTTTTTTTCCCCGGTTATTCTCTGTTATTACATTTTAAACTAAACATTCATTCTTTCAACTCTAAAAAAAATAGTATCTATAAATTATAAATGTTAAAATAATAAATATGAAAACAATTGCCTAACTAATTAAAATCGATTCCAACTAATATTTATAACATCTATAATCTAGCTTTAAAAAATTCCAAGTTAAATTTTTCAAAAAAAAATTGTGAGATTTAATTTTATTTATTTTTCTTGAATTTAGATCTTATAAAATAAAAATATTCTCCTAGCTCGTAGAAGGTTAGTGCTATAGCCAGCTAATAATATTTGGATAAGATAGAAGCAACTTGATTTTGGTCAAGTAATGTTGATGGTTAAAATGTTACAGATAAAAAATCATATTTAAAAAAAAATCTTTAACTAGATTTAATAACAACTTGAGTGTGCGTGTGTGACCTTCTCAAATTTTAGGTTATGTGCGTTGGTAAACCTCTAGGATTAATGTTTTAATTTGGATTAGTTAAATAACAAACTAATACAATTAATGAAAAGGTTAAGAGACTGGTGATCAATTTTTAATTTTTATAAGTTAAAAACTTATTCAGCATATAATATTGTGTAATTTACTAAATTAGGTAAGAAATTCATGACAGTTGATTTATTTTGCATTTTTATTATATCATGATTGGAAGAATATTTTAACGAGGCATGGCCACCTCAAAACCACTGAAGCATGAATGACTCAACAAACTGGATTCCCCACTCCCCACTGATCATGGCCCCAATAACGACACGTGGAATCCATAATTCAATTCGATTCCCACCTTCCAAACGCTTGTTTTGTTTTCCTTCTACCTCTTAATCACATTCCACCCACGCACTCTAACTGCATTTATTTTATTTTATTTATGCTTTCCAAATTCGTGTAATGTGTTCTTCCCCAACCCTTGCTTAGTTGACCCAATTATGTTCAACTTTGAACCTCCCAATGACTCACCCCACAACCATATCTTTTGTGCACGCATCACTAACCAACAGCAATAAAATTATCTTTATATACTTGTGTGATTCTATTTATATGACAGAGAGAAAAGACATTTTTTTATTCTATTTATATGACACTGATAGAAATTTCTTATATGGATATACAATTTTACTCTTCATTTATTATTATGTTGATTTTATTTACATGAGGTATAATATATAAATGACAGTTGATGAAGTTTAAGATTTTTCTTAGTCTGTGTAAAACGTGTTAAAAGTGATCTATAAATAAGACCAAAAAAGTATTGGAGTACATGTCATATGCTCAAACAAGTTTATAGTAGTTTTAATTTAATATTTATTCCATAAAATTTAACTTCATTTTCATTTAGTTCTTGAAATTTAAAATCACCGTATTTGTTATTGAAATTTGAAACCATATTTAACTTATAAAAACAAGTATTTATTGATATAGTAAATTTCAAGTACAAAAATACTGATTTCAAATTTTAAGTATCAAAATCAAATAAATTTGAGGAATTAAAGACCACGTTAGTTTTTTTTTTTTTCAATACTACTATTCTATTCACAGCTGACAATTTATTTTGGATTGCATGTTGATTGATCAGTTTGCAATTTTTTTCCGTGCTTCCCCCACAATTTCAAGTCATTTTAAAACCAATTAATTACTACTCCAATTCTAAATATAAAAATTATTTTGTAATGTAATTTATACTACAAAATAAGTCTTATATTTAATACCGGAAGAGTAATTTAAAATATCAAATTTAACCCAACGATCCGTAATACTATGCAACAGCCTCTTCACTAAGTAGCTAGGCGAGGCTGCCTGGTTCTCTTAAAGGTAATGTGAAATTAGATTAAGTTTAGAGATAAACCATCGAAAAAAGCAGAAAAAATTAGGATGAGTGCGTTTTCACAAAAGAAGAAGAAGAAGAGATTAGGATGGTGCACGTGTTAAGATTTAAGAGTAATATGTGTCATGTTCATTCCCTTGGTTTATGAGAATTTAATTAAATGTAATGAGAATGGGATACTCTAATCATTTAATAAATATAAAATCATCAATTTCCAATTATAATAAATAAATTATGAATGTGATTGGAGTCAATTTATGAGAATTCACTTGGTACATTTCCTTTAATCCTTTTTCCCCCGACTTATTCTTCCTCCTATTCATATTTTTCACAAATAAGAAAGGGAAAGTGTATTAAATAATATCAATGCAAATCAAATTGGATTTAATTTCCTGAACACCAAGTAGGAGAATGAAGATGAATAACAAATATCGATCCTAATTCAAAATGGCAAGCAATTTGTGCATAATATATTCTTGATTCACTGGATCAAAAACATAAGGAATAATAACAAGAAACATAAAAACATATATATCACACATTGCCACGTCACTCGCGCTCACCCTCCTTACATTGCACCATGATAAATTCATTTATTTTCTTTTAAAAAAGGAAAATAAATTAAAGAGTCAACCTTAGTAACCGTGGACTCTTACCGGTCACCTGAAATAAACACATCCTATAGTTTACCCCACTCTCTGTGTATATATATGCACACGCAACTCCGCATTTCTTTTCTCTCAAGAGGACCACCGGAACGCCTTCTCGATTTTCAGGTTTGCGAAAAGAAGACATGGTTTTCACGTCACCGGAGTCACCGAAGCGCCATGCCAACGGCTTCCTCGAGGGGGTATCCGCTGTCATGGCTCTGTTAGCCAGGCGGGCGAGCCGACTGAAGCAGAAGATGAAGACTCCGGCTAGCGACGCCGACTGGGCGATCGAGGTGAGGTCGTCGCCGAAGAAGTCGCCTCTGGCGAAGCCGAAGAAGCTTCTGAGCAGCATAAGCAACAAAGCGCTGCCGTTTGGTCACAACAAGAAGAAGCTGAAGGGAGGCAGGCAGGGGCCAGAATCCGGTGAGGAGGAGTGGGGAGACGGTGGTGTGTGGCAGAAGGCGATTCTGATGGGCGACAAATGTCAACCGTTGGATTTTTCCGGCGTCATTTACTACGATAGCAACGGGAAGCAGATGAACGAGGTCCCTCTCAGGTCGCCACGCGCCAGTCCCTTGCCCGGTTATCTCAATCGGCCTCGGGAACATATGCCCTGACTATGGGGTCCCCTACGCCCCCGTCACCGACGCGTGCGGTTTCTCCGGTGGCAGCGGGGCAGCGATCAGCAGAAGCAATCTGAGCCATCCGAGAAATCTACGGCTGAGCAAAATTACGTGTCTTTTACTTTCTTAGCAGCCTGTACGGTGCGAAACTCGATCGCGACACGTGACAGGTAAGAGATATGTGGCTTGCGAATCACCGTAGATTTGTTCGACGGTCAGGATCTCTTCTAATAGAATCACCGTATCTCCCCCGCCACCGGAGACCCTGCGCGCGTTTCGCCCGCCAATACTAGGAAGGAAATTTCACGCTGGAGTTTTACGGCACGTGGGATCATGTGCCCACGTGTCTCTCTCTGTTTTTTTTTTTTTGGGGTTTAATTTTCGAGTACTAGCATCCCATTCGATGGGTTGTTTGCTTGTTTAATGAGTTGGAGATTTGTATAGAGTATGTGAATGTGAGAAACTGACGATTAAGTTTGTTCAGTGGTTATATGATATGGTTTGGCTAGTGTGAAAACAAGCATCCACATGTACTCCCTCTTTTGAGCTGAGTTCTTTATTGGTTGTGTAGAACTATCAGCATTAAATTCACACTAATTTGAAATAATAGATTCATAGCTACTAGTGTATCTAATTATTTGTATTTTAACATATTTATATATAAGGTGGATAGTAAGATTAGAAAATGAACAAAATGAGGAGAATGTAGTTCATGAATTTATTAGTGAGAGTAGAATTTAGTTGTGTGCAATGAATTGTGAAAGTAGTTAATTATTTTGGTGAATCCCATGCGCATGGTGGGTGAATTGTGTTAAGTTGTTGGTACATGGTACGGTTAGTAGTGATATATAGGAGGGTCAAGATAAAACGGCCAGTCTAATTAGAGCAAATCATGGTAAGAGGAGATCCCTTCAACAATTCCCTTTATTAATTCTGCAAGCAATCGTAATATTAATATTAATCTAAAAAGTAGAAAATTACATAAATAGTTATAAATAATAAAAGAAGACAATAGGCATATATTCACAAAACCCCCACCCCTACTGTTTTAATCAAGACACCCATAAGGGCCACTTAAAATGTTAATCTCAATAAAAATTTTTTGTATATAATAGTTAGCGAGCCAGTTTAGGCACGCACATATATGTCTGTGCCGACAAACGTGTTTTGTATTATATGTTGAGAATGACTGTCCACAACTAGCGGCTTGCTGATTTTTACACCATTAAAAATAATGGTCACTGGCAACATGATTGATATTCATTAATATTTGAATTTAAAAATTCAAGTGGAGATGCGTGATTAATTCAAATGACTTTTTTAACACGAAAAAAAACTCCTGTTAAGTATTTTACACCGACAGAACATTTTATTGTGGTAAATTCCTAAAGAATGGCATATAAAACAATTAGGTGTAATCCAACATATGGTTGGACGGTGTAAAAGTTTTCGACGCATGAAATAAAGTTCGGTTTCAAGATGCATTAAAAATTAGATATTTTCCACCAGAAAAAAGAAATTTTTTTTAATAAGTATGGACTTTATTAAGTTCGACAGATATCTGCATCTAAAAGAATATTTTTATATTAATCTTGACATATAAAACTGTGATTATGCCTAAAATTCTATGACTATCATGTTTATTTTATCTTTTCTGGACTGAACTCGTGCACCAAGTTAGGCTATATCTGCCAATCAGGCAGAGATTTCAGCATAAAATTAGTCTCATTTATGATTCATTATATTTTTAGGATTTGTACCATAACCTTTTGTTTTCTCTGAAAGTTTTTTTATATTCGATCAAGTTTTTATACCAAATGAATTAAGGTTTTATACATACAACTAAAACAACCCTTCAAGTAGTCCTTACATTTAGAATATTATTTTCCGTCTTTACTTTTTTCCTAAAAAAAATTCAATAATTAAAATTTTCTTTAAGTTGATTAAATTAAATTTCCTTGACCCTAACGGAGGTATGATGGAAATGAAATGCATAGAAATTTGCACATGTGGAAGAGAGGATATATACATGTATATTAATTTGCTAAACATACAGGTATCATCTTATTAGAAGCAATTATATTTGACATACTATTAGGTATTAAATATAAGCACTTCTCCCAATAGGATCATAAGGATTCAAACTTTGATTTATTATATTATGAGAGAGCAACCCTTTTTGTTATGCCCAACCCCATTAATAGAATATGTATTTGCTTGGTTGGAGATGTTGCTTTTTTACCGGCAGTTGATTAAGTCCAACGTGGATTAATCTTTTCACTAATATCTATTTTGTCAAATGAATTTGTCACTTTAGCTCTTACCAAGCCATAGAGATGAGTCGAAGCTTTCCAATTTGTCAATTTTGCTTCCAGCAACGTTGAATCCGCCATTTTCTTAACATAAAAAAACAACACAGCACACAATACTTAAAGCCTAAAGCTCAAAGGTTTGGAGAGTCAGCAGAAAAGAAAAGCAATTAAAAAGAGATTCGAATCTGAAAATCCTTAATACTAAAAATAATATGACACGTTTCGAGAAACCTTTGAAGCAGTAAAATGGGTTCTTTAGTAAAACCCGATTAATAATTCTACTCATAAATCAATTAATGGTTGAATCGATTTGAATCAAAGGTTAAAAGTCTATCATCGGTGTTAGAATCTATAATTGAAGACTAATTGATTATATTCTCTACTTCGAGATGAGAGACCTGGACACACACAAAAACTTGTTGATCAAGTCCAAAATCGATTATACAAATGGAATTCAAATGAAATTTTGAACAGCTTCGCGTATACGTCATTTCGAAAAATATTGTTAGTTTTTTCATTTGTTAAAGTGATAGAAACACAAATTTACTTAATTTTACTTTTCTGCACTATTCGATTATTTGTTCATTTACCCGCCTGTCACTGCATAGATCACTGGAAATTAATTAGGCAGAAGACCATTAATTAATAGCATAAGCATAACATAAGTCAAGAAAAAAGAAAGAAAGATCTCATATTTAAATCATTACAAATATTTGGCAAAAAAAAAAACTCTTTATAAATGGGAATTTTAGTAACAGTATTTGTTTGTTTTTCTATGAGGGCATTAATCGGTTGTAGCTTTCGGAACGTGATTTTTGAATCTGTGTAAATTAGTTTGTTTTGGTTTGATTTCGTATAGACTTGTCTTATTGATTTAGGACCCATTTGTAGGGGGCGAAAAACTAATTTTGGTTAATCAAACGTGAAAAAATCAATGGGATAATCTTGTGGTAAATAAAATGAGGTGTGCGTTGAAAAAATAATTTCTTTTCTAATTTTAAACAAATGGACCTTAATCTTTCATCATATGCAAATGCTAACACCTTTGATTATAAAAAGATAATCGTGTGGATGCGTCATTTTTGAGATTTTGAAGCCAACACAACTCGCTCATCTTTGTCTTTTTGCAACTTTTGTTTAATAATTGAACAAGTTTCTGAAAGTAACATCTTACAAGTATTGCCTATTCACAGAAAAATTTGTGCTCTCGCTCGCGTTTGTGATGATATATTCTTTTTTCTTAATTTAACGCCTATCATCATCATACTTTTCCACTTGCTTGTGGGATATCCCAATTCCCACCTCAAATAAATGACATGATAATCTTTAATTCATTATGATGCACATCACGTTAAAGGGGAAAACACTTCATTGTCAAAATAAGTGCCACTTCTTTGAATTTCTCTCGATATAGAAGTTAGATGAATAATTTAAAAAAATTCAAAAAAAAACTAGTTAAATTATTTATTTATAAGAAATATTTGGTATTTTTTTAAAAAATATTCTTATTTAATAATTTGTATTATAATTTTTATTTATGAAGACTTTTTTCATATGCGTAATCGATATGGATAGTTTAAGGGAAAAAAATTATAATTTTGAAAGATAAAGTGAGTTTAAAATCTTACATTTAAAATCAACATAAACCCTATAACTGGCTTTTATAATTAGGAGTAAGGGTTTAATTTTAAACAACAAAAACAGAGAAATAAAAAAAAAAAGTAAAGAAATGGTGTCATAGGCTGAGTTGAAGATAAGAAAGAAAAATGGGATACTGATGCATGAAGCATGAGATGAGGGGTAGAAGTCAGAGGGTTGACTTTGACGAAGTGGGCTGACTTGGACATTTACATAAATAATAAAAGTGCGGGGAATAGTGTGTTCGCGCCTCATGACTGCTTCAACACCCAAAGACCTTTGAACAATTGAAGAGTCAGGGGAAGTGATATACAGCAAACTTCAACTTGTTTAATAGCCCCTTCCTCAGGGGGCAGTTGAACTTTTCTATAGGTCGACGGGTCTCCGTCCTATGCATTATTTTCATCATAGTCACACAACTTCCAGATTTAATCTCCCCGTTAATTTGAGAAGAACATCATGACACATATGTAAATAATAACATTTCTTCCTCTCCTTAATATAAGATTTAATTTATAATTTAATTATTACTTTGGAGATGGTAAGGTATTGAGCGGTAAAATATATACATGTATTACCTCTTATTATTAATATAAAATTTAGTTAACTAATTTTAAAAAATTAAGAAAGATAAATAAGTTATTTTAAAACAGTTATAGTAATAGTTTTTTTCTTCAAACCAAGTCACTTGATTTCTAAGGTGATATATAATACGATGATACACGTAAATATGTCAAATAGATCATTTAACATATATTATAATTGAATAATTATTTAACCTTTTTATCGTCCATAAATTAGGTAACTGAACTTTACATTACTACATTAATATAAAACCTAACTTTTGTCTACAAACTGAAGGAAGCATCATCATCACTGCATGTAAAATATAAAATTGATGACATACTTCTGTTATGATGTCTAACAAAACCGATTCGCTAGTTCGAAATATAAAACAGAAAAACTGTTATGGAGAGGGGTCAAAAGACCCTTGACGTACCATAGCAAGAGAGCCACGCATTAAAAGATTAATATGGCTTCCACAAAAGTTAAAATATTGAGCATTAAACTGGATGAATCCATCCTGTGCGTACGTAAATTGTCTTGATTATATTGTTTATGACTTATAAATAATGTAATATGCTGTGCATTTTATGTTTTATATTAATGAACTGCTGTTATTGGATGTTCATATTGTTTAGAATTAATTTGAATTGAATAATCTTAATTGTTTGTTATTTTTATTTTATAATTGAATGGAACTGTATTAACCTATCTATTCGCTTTTGCTCTCCCTGCGCAAAAACCTCCGCGTTTGTTTCTGACGAGGCTTTACTTTTTCAGGCTTTACTAGAGTCTACGGAACACCACAAATTACATATGGTTTTATTAAAAATAGAGTGGGAAGGCCCAAGCTGGCCCACATATCATGTAAGACTGAATCACGAGCCCCCATATGCCTTACTCTACATGTTACTCCCTCCTTTTCTTATTATAAGAGACAAATAATCGAAGTACGTTGATCAAAAAAACAGTTAAAATTAGTTAAGAACAATTAATATGTAAAAAGTATCATTTTTTTTTCAAAAATGCTCTCATTAATAAGGAGAGAGAGCATGAGAGAGAACAATTAAATTATTAAAAGAAAGAGAAGTGGGAGGGGGAGA